GCTTCTTAATTGATCAGCTAAATCAACTCCATTCATTTTATAATTATAATCATCAACTACACTAGGAATATCTATAAGTTTTTTTGGTTGGTTGCCAAAAACTTCAGTTATAGCTTCTCGATTTGTGTTAGTAATCCTTGGGCGGCGATGAACCTTTGCAACTTTAGAGTTTGGTCCAGTAATTTTATGAATTGTGGTCAGCATGGTTACAGGGCCATTATCTATCCATAAAAGAACTAAAACTTCATCAACTACAACACCTGAAAGTGTATTCCATTTTATACCACCTTTCTCCTTTAGCTTTAATTCACTGGGAAATTTAGCAGAATTTTTACGAACTGTTCCACATGCACCAATTCCTTTATCTCTTAAATATTTAAATAAACTAATACTTGAAAAGAAATTATCCATGTATACATTAAAGGATCTATTAGTTGGTAATTTATTTATTAAATGAAAAACTTCGGATCCAGTTTTAGTCAATCCTGGAATTTTTTCTATATTTGAATTTTCTTTAATTCGGGAAGAAAATATGAATGTAAAAGTGTAGCCAGCATCACACAATGATAAAATTTTAAACCCTTCAGGAGTTGGTTTATTTTTTATTCTAAAAGTATGAGCACTTCTTCCTGAGAACCTTGCAATCATTTCATCAATAGAAACATCTGATGCTGGTATATAAATAGATTCAGAAACTTTCCTAATATGTGTAGACAAGGGTTCAATTTTTGGAAATAAGATAGATTGATTTTGTGTATCATTAGGGTCTGAAATATGGAAGAATCTTTTAATCTGATAAAATAATTTTTTAATAATCAAATTAGTTTAGTTTAGTGATATATTAAATGTACATAATGCCACATACTTGTTGAAATCTAATTAGAGTCATATATTGAGTTATTTTATGTTTAGGAACTTTATCATCTGTGTTCCAATAATCTGAGACAGATGGAAATTTAAAAAGACCCATATATATTAATATTCCTAACCAAATTTTCAATTCAGGAACAGTCAATGGATACCAATCTCTTCCTGTTCCAGCATCTTTATCAATTGCATACAAATTAGTATTTATGACAAGTTGATTAAAGATTTCATTTGTGAAAAAAAGCATAAAAATTGAAATTGGATTCAATTCTGTTAATAAATTTAATTCATGAGGCAATTTTACAATTGCATTGTGTAAATTGTATCTATGCACTAATGGTATAAATTCTGGAGGAGGTGGGAGAATATTAGAGTCATTATCATCAATTTGGGCTTTTTTTTTTTTTTTGTATTGCTTCTACTACTTGTAGATTCTTCAGTACTATTTTCTTCTCTTATATCATCACTGATTTCAAAAATATCAGTTGAAGCAAAGGTGTCAATATTCTCATTAACATTAGTTACTTCAGAATCCTCAAATTCTTCATGTTCATTCCGTTTCAAAAAAAAATTGAATTCATCCTCATCCTCTGCATCTAAAAAACCTTCATATTCGTAAATATTAATATTTAAAGAGTCCATTTTTTAATTAAAGTTTAAATAAATAAAAAATTTATTGCAGTGTTAAAAAAAAAATTAGTACAAAATGATCGGCAAAGTAAATTTTTTTTGTACCTTTACTTTGCACAATCATTTATCACCAAGAACAATATGTAACACTTTGTTTTTTCTTTAATGGGTTAATGATACAATCTCAAAAATCATT